CTAACCTAGTAATTCCTGATTTATTTGTTCAAGGTCACATAGGGTCTTGCTAAGATTTAATGTGTTTCCCTATGAAATGTCTATAATCACACTGCAAGTCTTGCCAGATGAAATTTAAATCTGTTCCTCAGAAGTCCATTCCAAAATCAATCTGTCTCTGGGAAAGAGGGTCGCGCACAGCGCCTGCCCCTCAGGCATTACGACCCGGGGACTCCAGTTCTGAAAGCTCCACCTGCCCTGGTCCCATGCCATCCTACAGCTGGTGGTGCTCACTTCCCGGGAAAGAAGAGGAACCAGCGAAGTCCAGCTGCCCAGAGTCAAAGTGCCTCAGCTGAGCGCCACTGCCACTGACCGCAGGACACAGGGACAGCGCAGACGTAGCCCCCACCCAGATCTGGCACTCAGAGGCCACAGTGAAGCCTGGCCATACGTGAGCCGCTCCGGGACTCTACAAGTGACAGTGGGGCACAGCCTTGGCTGCCACCACCCAAGGGGGAGGATCAAGGGCCAGGCCCATGGGTAGGGGAAGGGGACCAAGGCCCAGCCACCCCGACAGACACACACCAGGTGCTCGGCCCTACAGTCTTCCTCCCTGTACTAACGTCAGTCACACAAGAACGAATGTTTACATAGAAAGAATTCTTCCCACATTTAGGATTAATAAAAAGGCAAATGGATGTTTAAAAGGACTGTGTAACTGATAAATCTGACATACTGTAATATTAAAAAGAAATACAAAAATTCTTCCCAATGCTTAAAATGAGGGAAGGCCCCTGACTGTGAAGGCACCCTGAGCAGATTAAAACCTGTGAAATCAGCAAGAAATTCTATGACTGCAGAGGGCAGCGCCTAAGCCCACCACTGCAGCCCTACCTTTCCTGGGCGAGCTCTGCGGGGATGTGGGTGAAGACAAGAGCTTGGAGGACGCGCTGGACAGCATGTCCTCCGCCTGCTTTGGGTGGCGCTCCAGACTGCCTTCTTCAGACAGCGAGAGGATCTTCTTTAAAGCTTGCGGAGAGTTTATGCCTACAAAAATAAGCAAATAACTAAAAACTTCTAACAACTAAAGGGCTGTATTGAAACTCAGTGCTACTGTAAGGTTCCACATATTTACAACTGGATATTCCTTGTACCGTCACGATATGAGAACAGGTGGAGGAGGCAGAGATGCCTGTGCTCAGACTTCCGATTCCCAGGGCCAAGAGGTGGCTGTGGATGTTTTAAATTCCAAACCTCTGACACCATAACCATGTGCTTGGCAACAACCAAGATTAAGTGGACAATATGTGAACATCTGAATTCGGGGCTCAGTGGGGTCACTTCAACTCCAGCTTGGGTTGGAAGCAGGTATTTGCTACTACGGGGCAGTTCAGCTCTGGGGAAAGGGGAACACCAGGAGAAAAGCAGAGGGCCCAGAGACACGGAGCGGATGGGGGAGGCAGGATACAGCACCAAGGGTCCTCATCAGCAATGTACTCAGTCCACAGAGGAAGAGGAAACTAGCTGCCTCTTCCACAGAAGCCAGGAGGGCGGCTCCCAGGGTGCATGGGCCTGGCCGGGAAGGGTGCGTGGGTAGACACAAAGTGACCCCTTGATTATTCTCCAGGAGTATGGGAGACACTTTACAAAGCTTCTCATAGTACTATGGGGCATCCTCAAACTCCCTCAGAGCTGACAAGCAGAGAGATTTCCAGAAAGGAAGAACAGCCCCAAACCATGTCCCCTTCCTGCCAGCATGCCATCTCATGTAAGCAGCCTTCTGCACTCTAAATGGTGTCTCTGGGGAAGAAGCGATACTATCAGGCACAGCGGTGTGAAAACTCCAAGTGCACCAAAGCTACAGGCCAGCAGGCAGTCGCCTCAGGCTGGCAGGGCCTCAGCAGAGTGTCAGCACTTCACACATGGCGCCCTCCGCACAGAGGGGCAGGGTACCTCGACCACACTCCTCCGAGCCGCCTCAGGGAGGATGGAGGTCAGCCAACAGCGCCCAGCACAGAGACCGAGGGACCTCACCCAAGGCCCAGCGCCTCTAAGCCAGCCTGCTGTACCCTGGTAAAAACATTCCTTATTTCTGTTCAGGTTACTTCCTTCCACAGACAGGCAGAAGAAATAGTGGGCACACTTTATGAAAGCTTGTTCTGTAGTGCATCTATTTGAGAAGGGTAAACCAATGAATGCGCTGTTTTTAAGGAAAAAGATGAGGTATAATTTCATTAACCTGCGAGCTCTGTCCGTATTTCCAGTGCCTGAAACTTGCAGAAGTGGGAGCTCGGTGAGGCAGAGCTGTGCCCATGGCCGGCATGCCTGCGGGCAGGCTCCGAGGCCTGCTACTGACATGGCTGAAGCCAGCTCGGTTCGAGGCACTGACCTGAGAAACACTCAGGCACAGAGCCGGCTCACCACTGCTAGCACAGCCGTGTCCCCCACCCACTTCCACGCTGGGTGCCCTGGGCAGCCTAGGACAGCAGAGCAGCATCTCGAGGCCACATGCACATGCACACAACCTGGGCTTGGGAGGATGAGGTCTGAGGAGTCCCCCCAGACTTACCGACCAGCCCCTTGGTAGCGCTCGAGGTGGCCACCCTGAGGGCTGGCACAGGGCCAGCCTTGGGCTCCTCTGTGGGCGCGGGCGCCAGGCTGCTGCCATTCTCGGCCTCAAGGGACATGTCCTTGGAGCCAGTGGGAGAGGCCCAGCGGGCCCTGGACTGCGCCTGCTCCAGGCTTTCTTCGATTGGGTTCTGTCTGTCGCCCTTCTGGCCATCCTCGGCAAAAATCAAGTGGTCCAGGTGGCCCCTGTTGGCCCAGGGCCCCATGGGGTCCCCGGGGTAATCGCAGAGCACAGGCCCGAACAGTGGGGTCTCCCAGCTCCTCAGGTGCTGGATGGTCTGGATGTTGTTGTGCGAGTCACTGGAGCATGAGGTCCAGCTCCCATGGCCACTGTTGGCGGCATCCAGGGACGTGCAATAGCCCTGGTCCTGCGAGAGCACCATGGCTGTGGCAAACACGTCCTGGGCCAGGGCCATGGCTGCATAGGACCTGTGGGGAGGGAGGGACAGGAGGAGCTGACTGTGAGCCTCTGCCTCACTCTGTGGTAGGGGACAGGGCAGTCCGCAGGTCCACGAGGGCCAGGAGGTCGGCATGGTTTGTGGAGAAGGAGCCACGAGTACTCAAGGAGGGTCCAGGATGGGGTTGTCCCATGGGGCCCTTGGCGCGGGCACCCACAGGGCCAGGTGGTGAGGGGCAGCAGGGCGAGGAGGCGGGTGCAGGAAGGGCACCCACCCCAGGCTGTACTGGTCTGGCTCTAGCACTGTCTGCTGCTCTGCCCTGACAACGCCCAGGCCGATCTCCACCAGGCTCACGGAGTGCTGCTGCCTCCGCTCCTCCTGCAGGGCCATGGGCACCGAGTCCAAGGAGGAGTTTCTGACCATACCGGACCTAGAGGAGATCTCGCTGGGGCCAGAGTCGGAGAAGTTGTCCACGCTCCAGCTGGGGGCCAGGGTGTAACCTGCAAACACATGGGAGACCTCACATGATGGAAGAAAAGCCAAGCAGAAATGCAGGACGCTCACTGGGAAGGGGACCCCTCATGCCTCAGAGTTCGCACTCCTGTCCTCACAAAGGAGCCCCTTACCTAAGGAGGAGCACCGGACTGCTTAGTGGAGATACAGAAGTCAGGGCTGTGCCAAGCGAGCTCAGCGCCCGCTGTCCCCCACACCCTGTGGCCCAAGGTCACAGCACATGGAGGCTGGGCACAGGGCGTCTGCTTATGCACCAATCAGCGTTAAAAAGTAGAAATCTCATTTGTTTTGTTTTTTTTTTTTGAGACAGGGTCTGAGCATTCCAGGCTGGCCTCAAAGTTGCAGCGACCCTCCTGCCCCAGCCTTTTGATAGCTGGCACAGAGTGTAGGGGTGCACCACCACGCCATTAAAATCTGAATATTCCCTTTCCGCACTCATTTTTTTCTTTTCTGCATTACTAAGCATGTAATCATCTTAGTTCAAAATCATTTGATACAATCACAGACCATGTAAGTTTTTAAATGCCACTTACTACAAAATAAATAATATAGAATATGTAAATAAATCTGGAGGACCTAAATTTGCCAATTTAAGTGGCCCCCATTTCACTAAACTAGTAATTCCTGATTTATTTGTTCAAGGTCACATAGGGTCTTGCTAAGATTTAATGTGTTTCCCTATGAAATGTCTATAATCACACTGCAAGTCTTGCCAGATGAAATTTAAATCTGTTCCTCAGAAGTCCATTCCAAAATCAATCTGTCTCTGGGAAAGAGGGTCGCGCACAGCGCCTGCCCCTCAGGCATTACGACCCGGGGACTCCAGTTCTGAAAGCTCCACCTGCCCTGGTCCCATGCCATCCTACAGCTGGTGGTGCTCACTTCCCGGGAAAGAAGAGGAACCAGCGAAGTCCAGCTGCCCAGAGTCAAAGTGCCTCAGCTGAGCGCCACTGCCACTGACCGCAGGACACAGGGACAGCGCAGACGTAGCCCCCACCCAGATCTGGCACTCAGAGGCCACAGTGAAGCCTGGCCATACGTGAGCCGCTCCGGGACTCTACAAGTGACAGTGGGGCACAGCCTTGGCTGCCACCACCCAAGGGGGAGGATCAAGGGCCAGGCCCATGGGTAGGGGAAGGGGACCAAGGCCCAGCCACCCCGACAGACACACACCAGGTGCTCGGCCCTACAGTCTTCCTCCCTGTACTAACGTCAGTCACACAAGAACGAATGTTTACATAGAAAGAATTCTTCCCACATTTAGGATTAATAAAAAGGCAAATGGATGTTTAAAAGGACTGTGTAACTGATAAATCTGACATACTGTAATATTAAAAAGAAATACAAAAATTCTTCCCAATGCTTAAAATGAGGGAAGGCCCCTGACTGTGAAGGCACCCTGAGCACATTAAAACCTGTGAAATCAGCAAAAAATTCTATGACTGCAGAGGGCAGCGCCTAAGCCCACCACTGCAGCCCTACCTTTCCTGGGCGAGCTCTGCGGGGATGTGGGTGAAGACAAGAGCTTGGAGGACGCGCTGGACAGCATGTCCTCCGCCTGCTTTGGGTGGCGCTCCAGACTGCCTTCTTCAGACAGCGAGAGGATCTTCTTTAAAGCTTGCGGAGAGTTTATGCCTACAAAAATAAGCAAATAACTAAAAACTTCTAACAACTAAAGGGCTGTATTGAAACTCAGTGCTACTGTAAGATTCCACATATTTACAACGGGATATTCCTTGTACCGTCACGATATGAGAACAGGTGGAGGAGGCAGAGATGCCTGTGCTCAGACTTCCGATTCCCAGGGCCAAGAGGTGGCTGTGGATGTTTTAAATTCCAAACCTCTGACACCATAACCATGTGCTTGGCAACAACCAAGATTAAGTGGACAATATGTGAACATCTGAATTCGGGGCTCAGTGGGGTCACTTCAACTCCAGCTTGGGTTGGAAGCAGGTATTTGCTACTACGGGGCAGTTCAGCTCTGGGGAAAGGGGAACACCAGGAGAAAAGCAGAGGGCCCAGAGACACGGAGCGGATGGGGGAGGCAGGATACAGCACCAAGGGTCCTCATCAGTAATGTACTCAGTCCACAGAGGAAGAGGAAACTAGCTGCCTCTTCCACAGAAGCCAGGAGGGCGGCTCCCAGGGTGCATGGGCCTGGCCGGGAAGGGTGCGTGGGTAGACACAAAGTGACCCCTTGATTATTCTCCAGGAGTATGGGAGACACTTTACAAAGCTTCTCATAGTACTATGGGGCATCCTCAAACTCCCTCAGAGCTGACAAGCAGAGAGATTTCCAGAAAGGAAGAACAGCCCCAAACCATGTCCCCTTCCTGCCAGCATGCCATCTCATGTAAGCAGCCTTCTGCACTCTAAATGGCGTCTCTGGGGAAGAAGCGATACTATCAGGCACAGCGGTGTGAAAACTCCAAGTGCACCAAAGCTACAGGCCAGCAGGCAGTCGCCTCAGGCTGGCAGGGCCTCAGCAGAGTGTCAGCACTTCACACATGGCGCCCTCCGCACAGAGGGGCAGGGTACCTCGACCACACTCCTCCGAGCCGCCTCAGGGAGGATGGAGGTCAGCCAACAGCGCCCAGCACAGAGACCGAGGGACCTCACCCAAGGCCCAGCGCCTCTAAGCCAGCCTGCTGTACCCTGGTAAAAACATTCCTTATTTCTGTTCAGGTTACTTCCTTCCACAGACAGGCAGAAGAAATAGTGGGCACACTTTATGAAAGCTTGTTCTGTAGTGCATCTATTTGAGAAGGGTAAACCAATGAATGCGCTGTTTTTAAGGAAAAAGATGAGGTATAATTTCATTAACCTGCGAGCTCTGTCCGTATTTCCAGTGCCTGAAACTTGCAGAAGTGGGAGCTCGGTGAGGCAGAGCTGTGCCCATGGCCGGCATGCCTGCGGGCAGGCTCCGAGGCCTGCTACTGACATGGCTGAAGCCAGCTCGGTTCGAGGCACTGACCTGAGAAACACTCAGGCACAGAGCCGGCTCACCACTGCTAGCACAGCCGTGTCCCCCACCCACTTCCACGCTGGGTGCCCTGGGCAGCCTAGGACAGCAGAGCAGCATCTCGAGGCCACATGCACATGCACACAACCTGGGCTTGGGAGGATGAGGTCTGAGGAGTCCCCCCAGACTTACCGACCAGCCCCTTGGTAGCGCTCGAGGTGGCCACCCTGAGGGCTGGCACAGGGCCAGCCTTGGGCTCCTCTGTGGGCGCGGGCGCCAGGCTGCTGCCATTCTCGGCCTCAAGGGACATGTCCTTGGAGCCAGTGGGAGAGGCCCAGCGGGCCCTGGACTGCGCCTGCTCCAGGCTTTCTTCGATTGGGTTCTGTCTGTCGCCCTTCTGGCCATCCTCGGCAAAAATCAAGTGGTCCAGGTGGCCCCTGTTGGCCCAGGGCCCCATGGGGTCCCCGGGGTAATCGCAGAGCACAGGCCCGAACAGTGGGGTCTCCCAGCTCCTCAGGTGCTGGATGGTCTGGATGTTGTTGTGCGAGTCACTGGAGCATGAGGTCCAGCTCCCATGGCCACTGTTGGCGGCATCCAGGGACGTGCAATAGCCCTGGTCCTGCGAGAGCACCATGGCTGTGGCAAACACGTCCTGGGCCAGGGCCATGGCTGCATAGGACCTGTGGGGAGGGAGGGACAGGAGGAGCTGACTGTGAGCCTCTGCCTCACTCTGTGGTAGGGGACAGGGCAGTCCGCAGGTCCACGAGGGCCAGGAGGTCGGCATGGTTTGTGGAGAAGGAGCCACGAGTACTCAAGGAGGGTCCAGGATGGGGTTGTCCCATGGGGCCCTTGGCGCGGGCACCCACAGGGCCAGGTGGTGAGGGGCAGCAGGGCGAGGAGGCGGGTGCAGGAAGGGCACCCACCCCAGGCTGTACTGGTCTGGCTCTAGCACTGTCTGCTGCTCTGCCCTGACAACGCCCAGGCCGATCTCCACCAGGCTCACGGAGTGCTGCTGCCTCCGCTCCTCCTGCAGGGCCATGGGCACCGAGTCCAAGGAGGAGTTTCTGACCATACCGGACCTAGAGGAGATCTCGCTGGGGCCAGAGTCGGAGAAGTTGTCCACGCTCCAGCTGGGGGCCAGGGTGTAACCTGCAAACACATGGGAGACCTCACATGATGGAAGAAAAGCCAAGCAGAAATGCAGGACGCTCACTGGGAAGGGGACCCCTCATGCCTCAGAGTTCGCACTCCTGTCCTCACAAAGGAGCCCCTTACCTAAGGAGGAGCACCGGACTGCTTAGTGGAGATGCAGAAGTCAGGGCTGTGCCAAGCGAGCTCAGCGCCCGCTGTCCCTCACACCCTGTGGCCCAAGGTCACAGCACATGGAGGCTGGGCACAGGGCGTCTGCTTATGCACCAATCAGCGTTAAAAAGTAGAAACCTCATTTGTTTTGTTTTTTTTGAGACAGGGTCTGAGCATTCCAGGCTGGCCTCAAAGTTGCAGCGACCCTCCTGCCCCAGCCTTTTGATAGCTGGCACAGAGTGTAGGGGTGCACCACCACGCCATTAAAATCTGAATATTCCTTTTCTGCACTCATTTTTTTCTTTTCTGCATTACTAAGCATGTAATCATCTTAGTTCAAAATCATTTGATACAATCACAGACCATGTAAGTTTTTAAATGCCACTTACTACAAAATAAATAATATAGAATATGTAAATAAATCTGGAGGACCTAAATTTGCCAATTTAAGTGGCCCCCATTTCACTAACCTAGTAATTCCTGATTTATTTGTTCAAGGTCACATAGGGTCTTGCTAAGATTTAATGTGTTTCCCTATGAAATGTCTATAATCACACTGCAAGTCTTGCCAGATGAAATTTAAATCTGTTCCTCAGAAGTCCATTCCAAAATCAATCTGTCTCTGGGAAAGAGGGTCGCGCACAGCGCCTGCCCCTCAGGCATTACGACCCGGGGACTCCAGTTCTGAAAGCTCCACCTGCCCTGGTCCCATGCCATCCTACAGCTGGTGGTGCTCACTTCCCGGGAAAGAAGAGGAACCAGCGAAGTCCAGCTGCCCAGAGTCAAAGTGCCTCAGCTGAGCGCCACTGCCACTGACCGCAGGACACAGGGACAGCGCAGACGTAGCCCCCACCCAGATCTGGCACTCAGAGGCCACAGTGAAGCCTGGCCATACGTGAGCCGCTCCGGGACTCTACAAGTGACAGTGGGGCACAGCCTTGGCTGCCACCACCCAAGGGGGAGGATCAAGGGCCAGGCCCATGGGTAGGGGAAGGGGACCAAGGCCCAGCCACCCCGACAGACACACACCAGGTGCTCGGCCCTACAGTCTTCCTCCCTGTACTAACGTCAGTCACACAAGAACGAATGTTTACATAGAAAGAATTCTTCCCACATTTAGGATTAATAAAAAGGCAAATGGATGTTTAAAAGGACTGTGTAACTGATAAATCTGACATACTGTAATATTAAAAAGAAATACAAAAATTCTTCCCAATGCTTAAAATGAGGGAAGGCCCCTGACTGTGAAGGCACCCTGAGCAGATTAAAACCTGTGAAATCAGCAAAAAATTCTGTGACTGCAGAGGGCAGCGCCTAAGCCCACCACTACAGCCCTACCTTTCTTGGGCGAGCTCTGCGGGGATGTGGGTGAAGACAAGTGCTTGGAGGACGCGCTGGACAGCATGTCCTCCGCCTGCTTTGGGTGGCGCTCCAGACTGCCTTCTTCAGACAGCGAGAGGATCTTCTTTAAAGCTTGCGGAGAGTTTATGCCTACAAAAATAAGCAAATAACTAAAAACTTCTAACAACTAAAGGGCTGTATTGAAACTCAGTGCTACTGTAAGGTTCCACATATTTACAACGGGATATTCCTTGTACCGTCACGATATGAGAACAGGTGGAGGAGGCAGAGATGCCTGTGCTCAGACTTCCGATTCCCAGGGCCAAGAGGTGGCTGTGGATGTTTTAAATTCCAAACCTCTGACACCATAACCATGTGCTTGGCAACAACCAAGATTAAGTGGACAATATGTGAACATCTGAATTCGGGGCTCAGTGGGGTCACTTCAACTCCAGCTTGGGTTGGAAGCAGGTATTTGCTACTACGGGGCAGTTCAGCTCTGGGGAAAGGGGAACACCAGGAGAAAAGCAGAGGGCCCAGAGACACGGAGCGGATGGGGGAGGCAGGATACAGCACCAAGGGTCCTCATCAGTAATGTACTCAGTCCACAGAGGAAGAGGAAACTAGCTGCCTCTTCCACAGAAGCCAGGATGGCGGCTCCCAGGGTGCATGGGCCTGGCCGGGAAGGGTGCGTGGGTAGACACAAAGTGACCCCTTGATTATTCTCCAGGAGTATGGGAGACACTTTACAAAGCTTCTCATAGTACTATGGGGCGTCCTCAAACTCCCTCAGAGCTGACAAGCAGAGAGATTTCCAGAAAGGAAGAACAGCCCCAAACCATGTCCCCTTCCTGCCAGCATGCCATCTCATGTAAGCAGCCTTCTGCACTCTAAATGGCGTCTCTGGGGAAGAAGCGATACTATCAGGCACAGCGGTGTGAAAACTCCAAGTGCACCAAAGCTACAGGCCAGCAGGCAGTCGCCTCAGGCTGGCAGGGCCTCAGCAGAGTGTCAGCACTTCACACATGGCGCCCTCCGCACAGAGGGGCAGGGTACCTCGACCACACTCCTCCGAGGCGCCTCAGGGAGGATGGAGGTCAGCCAACAGCGCCCAGCACAGAGACCGAGGGACCTCACCCAAGGCCCAGCGCGTCTAAGCCAGCCTGCTGTACCCTGGTAAAAACATTCCTTATTTCTGTTCAGGTTACTTCCTTCCACAGACAGGCAGAAGAAATAGTGGGCACACTTTATGAAAGCTTGTTCTGTAGTGCATCTATTTGAGAAGGGTAAACCAATGAATGCGCTGTTTTTAAGGAAAAAGATGAGGTATAATTTCATTAACCTGCGAGCTCTGTCCGTATTTCCAGTGCCTGAAACTTGCAGAAGTGGGAACTCGGTGAGGCAGAGCTGTGCCCATGGCCGGCATGCCTGCAGGCAGGCTCCGAGGCCTGCTACTGACATGGCTGAAGCCAGCTCGGTTCGAGGCACTGACCTGAGAAACACTCAGGCCACGTTTCCCCAGCTCACCGACCACACAGTCAACAGCGAGGGTGAGGAGAGGACCCCCGAATGCTCACACACCGAGGGGGCTTCACTGCTCCACTTCTTCCTCCCCGTTGTGAGGCACAGACCCCGTTTATCTAGAAACAGTCCCTCTCCCTGTGGAAATCTTCCCTTTTATTCGCAGAAAAGAAAACCGAGAGATTCTGGGACGCTGGGCAAGGTGCCTGGGACACCGCTGGCCCCACACAGCCAGGGGCAGGCACTCACCGAAGGGCGGGAGTTCCTTGACAGGCATCTTCCTTGGGGACGGGTAGAGGGACATGGCGGTCACCTGCAGGCCCTGGCCAAGCTTCTGCACTGGCTGTGGCTTTGGCAGGGGCTGCGGCTGAGCCTTCTGCTGGCACTCTGCCCTGGGCGCCACCTGGGAGGTCTCAGACTTGAGGGGCCTTTTGTCACCAGGGTGCTTAGGCACTGAGAACAGAAAATGTAGACATCAGAAGTGTACAGTCAGAATAGGAAAACACACATTTTTTCCTGCTGCCTTATAAAACACAGAAACTTCCAGGAGTGGGGCTGTCGGCCTGTAATCACAGCCCTGGGGAGGCTGAAGCAGGAGGATCACATCGAGGTTGAGGCCAGCCTGAATGACACAGTGAGTTCAAGGCCAGCCTGGACTACAGAGCGCAATATTGTCTCAAGAAACAACAACAGAGACAAATGGAGATAAATGACAAAAACTGGGAGGAAAACGCTCCTTACAGAAAATATGAGAAGTATGCCAAGATAAAGATATTTACCACATTAGTGATCTCTAACAATAACGATATTAAACATCAAATTAAAACTAAGAACAGAAAACGTGGGCAATATTATATGGCTATAGATAAAAAGCAAACCTGGTAAGAGCTACGCAAGAAAAATCATGAGGAATTACTTCTCTTACTGGTCCCCATATCACTCTGACACACCTAAGCTGATTTTTAACTGAATAAATGGTGTTAACTGTATTCTATTAATCGTCAGTCTCCTGTGAAGGGAACTCTCCAGGGAGGCAGACACTGGCAGTTCATAGGCTGCTATTCTGCAGGGCGGGCATGGAATTCCAAGTGCACGGCAGCAAGCCCACGAAACAGAAGAGTTAGATGCTGTCTGCACGGAGTCCTAACAGCCCACAGGCCCATGATGCCTGCGTCCTCCACCTTACACTCTGGAAGGCGGAGAATCTGGACACCAGGCAGCTCGCCTGAGGCCACACAGTCACTGCGCGGACAGTGGGAGCTGAGCGCTGCCCTGCAGCACGCAGTGTCCACTGGCAGTGTCCTGGCTGCTGTCCTCATGGGCTCTTCAGAAACCTCAAATCTTGAGAACCATCACCTTTCAAAGCAGCCCACAGGAGACCAGCAACTGGTGGGTTTTTATTAACTTTCGGTTTCATTTGCAGCACTGGGGACAGAGGCAGGCAGACACTGCACCTCTCCAGGCCAGCCCGATTCTCACTGCTAACACCAGGGCTCACTGTGCACACGTGCGCTGAACACCTGCACTCAGGCAGTCCTGTCTCAGCCTCCCCACGGCAGGCACCTGCCCAGAGGTACACAGTCTGACCAGATTGCACTGGACACTGGGTAGGCTGTGGTGAGACTGAAGGCAGCCCGAGGAGCCCACAGTGTCCTCCTGCACGGGCCCCGCACCTGGGAGAGGCTCAACCGGAGCAGCTCCTGCTCTGCTCCTCTGCCCCTGAGCTGCTGCCTGCAGGAGGCCCAGAGCCACCTGGGGAGGGGTGGGGACTCACGAGTGCTGGTCGCTGGCTCACACTGCAGCGACAGCATCTGCAGGCTCTTCTCGTCCATCTCGAGCTCCAGGTTGGACAGGTACTGCTTCACTTTGCGAGCCATCTGGGTGTCCTTGTAGAGCTTCTTGGCATTGAGGAAGGAACTGCGGCACACCCGCTTCTTGTGCCCGCCTGTCTGGGCAACATCCAGCACCACTGCGTTTGTGCTGCCCTGGCTGAGGGACCTTCGAGGTGGACAGGGAGAAGAGAGGCCACTCACTCCGGCACGGGCTATGACACCTGTGCGGCACTGCTGAGACCAACAGTGTCTACCCTGGGAGTCACCTGCTTCATTCCAACAGCACTTGTCACCGGGAATTGCGGGTAAAGAGAGATACAGGTAACACACAGTAAACAGACCACTGGCACCCAGTCTACTCCAGCCGGAACTGGCTGTGCATCTATAGCATTCAGGTCCTCTCACAGAGGCAGCAAATGACAATCCCAGAAAAGCTCATGCAGGAAGACACGGCTCCACTCATTCTGATTTATCATGTTAAAGTTACTTCTCTATGAGAAGATGCTTTGCATAGATTTAAGTAAATTAGCTACAAGGTTCACAATTAGTTCCTTATTCCTTGAGTAGAATGAGGTAAGGTTTTAAGTAAAATTGTCAATCTGTTAATACTATAGTTATGCAAAATAAACATCTGTATATGGAAACTACTTAGCACATGGATCATTAAGAATTATTTTGAATAAGGATTAGTTTATATAGAATGAAAATAGTAGTTAGTTGAGCTGTAAAAAAAAATTGGTTTTCACCGCTGGAGACACCTTTTTTTAATTATGCATATTTACTGGTAAATAGCTGCACAGTAATATTTAACCACAAAGTTTTTCCTAACATCCTCCACTATCCCCATCCTAGGCTTTTCTCATTTTCAAGACACATGAATTATTCAAAAATAGAATCTTCCTGGGAGCTCAGAAATGTGCCTGGCCTACAGTTCCCCAGAAGAATCCTCAATATTTTCACAGCTCTGGGGGGCGCGACTTCAGGAGCGCACAGAGGACAGCTGCAGTCAGTCTGAGCTGGAAACCGCCAGAGCATCGAGGCAAGGTACAGAGCGCACGCAGGAGAGGCACAGGGAGGAAGGAGGCGGCAGCTGCGCGCCCCACCACTTACCCCAGACTGCGCCACTTCTTCTTCCTGCAAGTGAGAGCCGAGGAGATGGAAGCGTGAGTGCAGAGAGAGACAGAGAGATCACAGCTCAGAGAGAGAGGCCTGCACTTCGGGGAAGCCATCCCAGCAGCCCACAAACCTTCAACCCACCACCGCCTTCCTACAAGCACTAGTTCTGGCTCAAAAGACAAGTGTCAAGTTCTTGTCCTAGAGAAAGACATGTGAGGTCTGTCTCTCCGCCGACTGGATTGGGCAGAGACTGAGGCAGTGCCACCTGGGGCCATTACAAATCTGAGTGTACACCACCCCTGAGGAGTCACGGCTCTACAAGCCAGTATCCTCAGGAACAGCGAGAAATGCTTGTGCCTGACATGACACGGAGGCCACGCTTCTCTCACTGGAGTCAGTGCACCTAATGCCATAGAAGGCTCAATGGCGACACTGGACCCAAGGTAATTTCTGCCCCCGAGCAAGGAGTATACACACGGAAACCTTTCTCACTGAGGGGGAAGCTTTCAAGGTGACCCCTCCAGTCCCACACGTGCCTCGGCTGACCCACTCACCGAGTCCTGAACATGAGGGCCGGGTCCATGTTTACTGAGGCCATGCGGCCCACGTGACGAATTTCCTTGGCAATCATCCTGAGCTTCTCAAAGTTGACCAGTCCATCTACTTTTGAGTCATTTCCTGCAATTTGGCACAGGAGAAAAAGGAAATCACATGGCACCTGGTGTCTGCTTCTGCTGGACACGCAGGTAGAAACCAGTGCCAATCTACCTTCGTGCAGGAAGGTGAGATCCTTCTTGATGATTGGGAACAGGGGGATGATGGGGGGCTGCAGGTTCTGACTGTTGAGGACATTGCGGTACTTGGCCATGTTTCTGGAAGGATCAAACAGGTCTTGGAGATCCTGAAACAGCTTTTCATATTTATTGGGAAGTTTTTCCCAGGTGGTCCGAAGTCTTGCCACTGGTGCCATGTTTAGGCCACTGATGGGAAAAGGAAAGTGGGTCAGTTAGACGAGGCCTCCTGAGGAACTGCATGGTCCTGTCCGTCGATGGGTAACAGAACCACACAAACATGGCTACACACAGCCATCTGCAGCGGGTGCCAGAGGAAGGTCCTGATGACTCAAGTGAGGCCAAGGCAGACAGAAGCAGGTTCAGGCGTGGTCGTGGCCCACTGGTCTCTCTGTCTCCTAGAGCTCAGATTTCCTTCAAGGCCCAGCCTGCAGAACCGCCTGAGGTTGGGAAGGAGCCTGCAAGAGGCAAGGCCTGGAGAGCAGGAGTTGGGTTCCAGGTAGGGGGTGGGACCCGCCTGGCCCTGTCTGCATCCCAGCCCTGAGGGGAACAGCCCTGCTCCACACAGGACTGCACAACCGTGCCTTGCCATGGCCCAACTGAGGACACAGGGACACCTGCAGAATCACTCTCCAAGGTGAGGGGCACAGGTGTTGCAACCACAGCAGAAAGATGACACAGTCAGCAAGAACACTGTGTAAGTACTGTATTTTCTGCACAGACAGAGTGGTATTTACCCATAACAGGCAACTGACAAAATGACAGGGCAAACATTCCAGAGCATTAAAACTAAACAGAAGTCACAGCAGTCATTAGAGTATCACAAACTCTGGGGAGAGAAAGGGACTAATAATTTCCTCAACATCAGGCTGACTCAGGGCTCCCATGTGCACTTTCTCCTGGGCTCAGTCCAAGCACTGATCAGGGAGCACAGTTTACATTCCCTGGGCATCTGCCTTGTGCTGCCTGATGGAAATTCACATGCATTATGTCATTTAATATTCTTGATAACTCTTTGCAGTGTTGTTATTTTATACGAAATAAACTGTTATCCAGAGGAGTTCAAATGGTTTGCCCAGAGTTTACAAAAGCAGAAGTGCTGGATACAGATTCACCACTCTCCCAACCAGCTCCTGGAGTCAGTAAATTAAGCATTAGCCACGGGATAGAAGCACTTTGGCTTTGAGTCAGTGACAGCCCTGCAGGTGTGAGGGCCTAGGGTGGTCGGCTAGCAGCTGCAGGCTGCTAGGCCCTTCCGGGATGGAGTGACCATGGAGGGGACACCTTTCCAGCGGAAGCAGGACCTGCGAGAGCTGGTAACCAACCACCGTGCTCACCTGATGATGGTGAACATGGAGTTGAAGTTCTTGCACTCCCTGCAGTGCAGCGCTATCTTGATGAAATGCTTAATGATCTTCATCCTCTTCAGTTGGTTTGTCTCCCTGAGAATCTCTGAGGCCACCCAGAAGGTCTCCTGGTTGATGACCTCCTCGAACATCTTCAGGTTGGCACAGCTGGTTTTGGACCTCAGCTTGAACAGGTCGTCGATGTACTCGGTGGGCTCGATGTTCCGGAAGAGCTCGAAGTTGCGCATGGAGAGCTGCTTGGAGACTTCCACGGGGCTGAGCTGCAGCAGGAAAATCTGGCTCTTGCGTAGCAGCTCCTGCGCGTCCTTGTCTGAGCACAGCATCTTTGTCTCCATGTTGTTTTTCAGGTAGTACCTGTTTTTGAAGAAACAGGTGTCTGGGAGAAAGCCCATGCCACAGCACCGCAACACCCCCACCCTTAAGCAAGATTCAGAGAGGCTAAGATTGAATAGCAGCAGAATTCTTTTCCACCAGGCCAGGGGGTGCTACCCTGCTGACCAGATCCCAAGGAACCCACAGAGAATTTGGGGGTGGGGTGAGGTGAGCAAAGTTCATAGATTTTTTTTTCCATTTATAACTATTCTCCTTTTCAAATTATTTTACCCTGTCTGTTAAAGATGACAAAAGCTAGTTTAATGAAGCACATAGCCTCAAGGAAGGACGCAGAAAGCCACACAGAGCCATCAGTGAGGGGAAAAACAGTGCTCCGTCCAAACAAGGATGCTTCAGACTCACACAGCCAGGAACCCACAACTGTTTCCCTTCGGTTGGGTCCTGCACATGAAACAATCCTGAAACAGATTTTAGCTATTTGGTACCAGAGATCAAACTCATGACCTCACGCTTGCCAGGAAGGTGCTTACACCGCTGAGCTAAATCCCTAGCTCCTGAAACATTTTAATGCTTAAATACATGATAAGACGTGCCCAGGACAGTGGGGCAAGAACAACCCCTATGTGTCAGGTAGAGAACAGGACCCTAGAGCAGCCCAGAGCTCAGTGCTGGGCCATCTATTGTTTTTTTTTTAAAGCAACCTGTTAAAAACTATACTGGAATGTTTGCTCTTGGATTTATTTTCTTGCCTTCTCTCTTCAGAGAAAGCAGCCTCTTTCTCTCTGAGTGAACAGCCCTTGTGAGAAGACTGAAGGTGCACACAGAGGCCCCACTGCACTGTGCTTTTTCACATGCTCTAAAACTTCTATGACACAAACCACACGGCTCTGCCCTCGGCACTCCCGGCCAGCGTACTGCCCACTCTGATCACTCGCAGGGCCTAGGACAAGGGCTCACCCATCCTTTTCCTGCATGGTGAATGTGACCACGAATCTCAGAAGAGCATCACGATTACCGAGTTCAAATGAGAACCAAGTGAAGCTAACTTCTCAAAATGCAACTGCCTGCTAGTGCTAGGCTTGCAAATACAGGAGTGAGCCCCACAGTTACAGCTGACAGCAAGCAAACACGGCCTGAATGAATTAAATCACCATTTAGATCGATTTCATGGAAAAATCATGTGCAGTGGACCACTCTGTAAAATGAGACAATTTTTAGAAAGTTATTTATACAACTAATTAATTTGCATTTAGCGCAAAATCTAGTCATTACCTGTTAGCCAACACTTTAAAGTTTTTTCATCTTGCAATTATTTGTGGATTATTGGCAAATCCCTGTCAATAGGAGGTCACTATGTGATGACAGGATCAGCACAGTGACACAAAAGTGCTCAGGAGCCTGCCTCCCAGGGCCAGCTAGGCAGCTGCTCCAGCTGGGTTCCTGGGTCAGGCAGCCCATCCCACAGCGCCCCCTACCCTGGGAGTCACACAGTCTTCCCTACATCTCTGCCTGCCCTGGCCTTGTGCAGCTCCTGAGGTCTGAACAAGTGAGCTTGTGGGCGCGCGCACACACACACACACACACACCCAAGGCTTCCTTGGCACTCCACACCAGCTCAGCTCACATGCTGTCAGCCAGGAACTCGATGGGCAAAGCTAGGAAGCCAGTGCTTGTGTGCTGGCCATAAACAGCAGCCCTCAGGTCACACTGGTAAGAGGTAGGCAGTCTATGTGCACATTGACCCGGGAACCACAGTGTGTGCGTGTGCGTGTGTGTGTGACCTAAATTATAATCTCCAGGGGCTCTCAGTCATTTAAACCCCTCCAAAGTGCTGCAGGTAGACAGTGTGTACCTTCCACTCAGCTGTATTCTGTCAGCAAGTTTGGAGAGCTGGTCTGGAAGGCACCTTTGTTTGATGACACCCTCCAGGGTGACGGAGACCTCACACAGCGAGTACTGATCCGGGGTGGCAGTGATGGCAAACTCCCTGATGGCCTGGATGACCACTTCCTTCGCCGTGGTGTCCTTACTGATCATGATATATCGGCTCTGTTGATCAGCCTTAAAAACCCTCAGAACTTGATCTGGAAAGTCTGGAGGAAAGATAAACCAGTGCAGAAGTGTGTGCAAAGCAGGAGACACACTGCAATGAGGTGACGTGATCTGAGGAGGAGATGCTCCCTAAGAAGGGGAGGGTGGCTGCCCCCTGCCCCGGGCTCGAGATCTGTGCAGATTCAACCCCATACTGTACTGCAGACTACCCCTCTGCCTCACAGATTGCTATAACAACCTGCGGACAGATATAAATGCCCCAAGCACAGGATGACCACACGGTTGTCTAATCATGGGGCATCACCAGTATGTTACAGACAGCAGGAAGCACTGTGCGCTCACCAGGAGTGGCACAGAAGTCCAGGATGCTATGATGTGACTGCAGCAGGTCGGGTTTGCTGGAGGACAAGGTCTCGCTGACAGGTAGAGAGGCTGGGATGTGGTTTGTCTGCTGCAGCCCCACAGTGCTGTGGTCCTGGGGCTGACAGATCCCAATATCCCTGCTGGGAGAAAAGGCAGAGGACAGCATGGTTGGCACGTTATAGTGTTACAAGTCAGGTTCATCAAGCTCTCGATGAATGTAAAAATGTCAGTAATAACTACCGGAGCGCATCTAGTTCGCTCTGCTGTTTCCTGAGTGTACCCTATGCTTCTCTAATGCCTGTCTTTTTCACTAGATAAGCTGCAAGCATTTTAAGTAATTTCTCAGTATAAAAATACTTTCAAAGAAATATGACCTTCAGTTTCTGATGGCAATGGATTTAAGGGAAAAAACACATTATGAAGAATATAGTCAGCCTCACTTATCCAGTGCTTTTACTGGCTGACAGGCTGAACCTTAAAAACTGAAGTTGAGTAAAATAAGAAGAAGGGGGGAAATCCACACTGCTTAATTTCACTTACCAAAGTTTGGGGGAGATGAGATCACTATGGAGTTAAATGTAAAGAAGCCCTGACATGGACATTATTTCTTAATCAGAGGACATAAAAGACCCAAGACACAAGGTGACATTTCACCTTGTGAAAAGGAATCCAATGGAAATGCAGTGACTCATTTTTAATTCTCTGTTCAAAATTTCTAGTTATACATTTTAGTTCCCAGAAAAATATTGAGAACTAAATGGCTACAACTGTATTTCCATTTATAAAAAGTGCTGCTGTAGGTAACGCTTGAAATATGATTTAATGATATATAAAATTATTTCTAGATTAAAGGGTCAAGTATTTCCACAACAAAACATCAAGTAAAATACTGTACCTGAAAATAACTAGGTTATAACAAATGGTTGTACTTTTAACTAGTTTCTGTAACTTCTTAGAAATAAAATTGGTAACATCACACTAAGACTACTACGTAACTAAGCCAGTAAATAAGATCATGTGAAGAACAGAAAAAAATGGAGAATTGTTTGATAGAGAAAACATAGAATATGTGAAGCAGGTTCAAAGAGATTACCAGGAAACTAAAAACTCTATTGAAAGCTGGCATAACAGTTTGAAAGAAACTAAGGATAGATTATCAGAACTGGCGGACAGATTTGTAAGGTGGGAGCATGAAATGAAAAACTTCTTAAAAATAACAAGAAAATAAACAGCAATAATACAAAGACTAGACGATGATAAGAGGATATATAACTTAAGAATTAAGAACATAAAAGAAGAAGTAGGGACTCAAACAAATGAACTACAAAAGCTATTTACAGAAATAATCCAGGAGAATTTCCCTAATTTAGCAAAATGTAAAGATACTCAGATGTATGAGGCATACAGGACCCCAGCCACCTACAACCCAAACAGAGCTACACCCAGGCATATAATAATCAAAATTCCAGAAATCCAATATAAGAACAGAATATTAAAAGTCATAAAAGCAAGAAACAGATCACTTACAAGGGAACACCCATCAGAATTACAGCAGACTTCTCTGCACAAACCATCAAATCACGAAGAGCGTGGGGGGAAATAATTCAAGCTTTGAAAGATAATAACCTCCAGCCAAGACTGATATATCTTGCACAACTGTCCCTAGAAGTTGATGGAAAAACAAGGTGCTTCCAGGATAAAGAGGAACTAGGGGAATTTGCAATCATCAATTAAACACTACAGAGATTACTGCAGGATATTCTAAAAATGAAAAATACCAAGATTCCAGAAACAGTGGCAGAGCGGCCACAATGAATGGAACAGAAAGCAAAATGAAGAAGACAAAATAAAAACTAATGACAGAAAAAGAGCTCAACAGAAATGAGGCAGAGAAGACTGGATGGTAGGAACAGCCATTTTGGAGAAAACAAGACATCATAATAGATAGTGCTGATTTAATATCCTCTTGTTTTGAAGTCCCATCAAGCTTTTGTTCTTCTGTCTTCATCGATTTTAACATGTTGTATCTTATTGGATTTTATTTTATGTGACAATATAAACAAAAACTTTTATAGACAAGGAGATGATACAGAAATCGTTGTTCATTTTCGGTTAGTTGATTCTAAATACCCTGTAATACTGTCATCCTCTTAAACGGTTTTACATTGTCTTGATACGTTTGATGCTACATTATACGAAGTTATACCCAAAGATTTTAAGGGAAGAGACACTATGGTAACTACTATTATGTCGAGATTATCTTGTGGTGAAACACTACTTTGCTTAAATGGCTATGTTTTGACCTGCGCTGTTTTGTTGTTATGCCCTCTTTTTTTTATCTCAATGTCCTTTTTATTATCTACTTTTTCATTTTTATCCTTTTAATTAAGGGAAAAATAAATAAAAAATAGCAGGATATATTATAGTAACCCACGGTGATTTCCTATTAACTTGATTTGAAACTCTGTATTGCTCTCACCATCTTGTTTTGACTGATTTTCCTCTATTCTGTTATGCTTGATAGTACAAAGTTTGAAAGTATAGGCAACAACTATGAAGACAATAAGATTCATTGTGATGCCCATTCTGGTTGACTATTATCTTCTTTTGAAGCCCTCTAATGTTTCCAATGTTTTGGTTTTATTGTCTTATTCTTTACTGTTTTGTTCAATTTTATTATACCTGATGATTTAGGCAATTCTTCTTAAGATAGCAAGAGGCAGTATGGTAACCATTGTTGATCACCTTGTATTTTGTTTTTATATTATGTATTATGTCCATCCTTTTGATTTGACTGACTCTGTCCTGGTATGTCACATTTGGTTTTACTTTCTTCAAAAAAAAAAAAAAGTAATAAGAACTGTGGGAGTAATAAAACCCAAAATGTGTAATTGTCATTGTACAAAAGAAAGGAAAAGAAAGTGCTCTAAAGGATATAACTGCATATATATTTAAGTGTATAAGATAGATAACCATATTACTGAGTTTTGTTGGATCATTGAACAAAACTGTTTGCAGTCTCACTGTTGAAAGTCCCCTCTATATGCTTTAATTTTTAACTTCAACAACTATTTCTAAGATGACAATATGTAACTATTGATTTCCTACTGTTATTTTTTCTGAAAGTCTGTATAACTTGTACCCTTTGCCTGCTTTTGTTTTGTTTGTTTTGTTTTTTCTCCTTAAATAAAATGTAAAAAAAAAAAGACAAAAAAAAAATAAGATCATGTGAGAGTAAGGTGAGCTCAGAAAAATGTTACATTTCTATTAAAATTCACACAGGTAAGTACTGAAAAACGAAAAGTATGATCATTTTGCTGAAGATAAAAAGGTAGAATTTTCAAGCAGAATTTTGTTTTATAATCATGTTTTACAATCCTGTGTCTGCCAATACCACACAGAGTCCACAGCATGCGATCCACAGCAAGCGATCACTACGGGCTGGGCCACTCCTGCCCCAATGGCCATGAAGCCAAGCACACTGCATTCCAGGGGTTGCTCGGCGACACTCCAAGGCTCCTCAGGTGATGATCTGACTGAACTCTGTCACGCTGTCCTGATTCCTGGACTGACACGAGCTTGTACCAAGACATAAATCAGAACCACCCTGAGTGAGCACAGCCAATTACGGCTGGACCTTGCCAAGTCTCCCGCTGCTGCTCCACCTTTGCTGACTGACTTCTGCCTTCCCCTGGGCGCACCAGGCTTTCTCCACCTACCAGCAACCAAACTTGCGTAAGGCTTCTGTCCTACCCTTTCCTTCACCCTGCGCATATCACTCTACCACAGCTATCCAGCATCTTAGTGTCTCTAAGAGTTTAAGGGAAAAAACCTTAACAGTAGAACAAAACTTGAAAGTATCTGAAATGTATAGTTTAGTAGCTTTGTTAAAAAAACAAAATCTTTGCAAGCTAGAGGTGTGGCTCAGAAGGACGATACTTGCTTAGAATGCACCAGATCCAGGATTTCATCCCTAGCACAGTAAAAAAGAAAACAGCCAAGAAGACCTCCATGAACACATACTAATTTCTAGAAAAGTTCACTGATTTGCTTTAAATCAGTTTATTAGGTGAATAGGTACAATAGATGCAAATAGGTCCTCTATACCTTGAATTACTTTTTCCATTTCTATTACTTCATACACTTTTTCAAATAATTTTTGTAAGAAAATATCAGTATTTTAAAATCAAGCTAATTCCCTTTTTTCTCTTGTGAAGATTTTGAGTATCTTTCCAAAAAGACAGAACAAAATTAGACACAGCACCCCCATGTAGAGCTCCCGGTTGGGCTAACACCACGCCTGGAGAATCAGCACCCCAACCTGGGCATCACACGGAGGCTTCCCAGGGTCACACTGATGTCTACCTCATCTATTCCAAGGATCGTATTTAAGTCATGGTCAAACACAGCTCTCAGATCTTTTGCTGCTGTTGTTATGTTGCTAGTAATTCTGCATTAATGCACTTTACTTTGTCATTCACTTAAATGTAAGTTTTTCATCCAGAGTCACGTGAAAAATTGATTCCTGTTTCCTATAAATGCCAGCTGTTCCAATCCACTGACTCCTGTCAACTTACTATGAGCATTTCCACAAGTGTCAATAAAGTCATCACTTTCATGCTTATCCTAAAACAGACATTTTCACTGAACCACCGGTTCAATGGCTGCCACAGGAGTTTGACACTCAGTTCATGGATAGTAAGCTTCAAATCTCTCTAATCTGTGGATGAAAATTTTATCTAAAATGAAATTTTCAAAGCAATAAGAAAGATGCTTAACGTAATCCTAAGTGTCTGTATAGTTCCTTGTTATAGGTCCTTGTTAGACACATTAAACTATCCAAGAAATAAATTAATCCATGTTTTTCAATGTGCTACCCTCCCTAGCACTGTACTGTGACAACTACACTACGACTGAACATGGCATTCTGAGTTACTTCACATTCAGAAAATAACTTTATGGTCTTCAAAAAGGACTTCAATTTAGATCTAATTCACATTCAGACTGATGGTGCTTGAGTTTTGTACAATATTCCTGGACTCAAGAACTGATATGAAGAAATAAACAGGCAAAGGAACAAAGTTGACATGAAACAAAAACCGCATCAGTGTGGCTCTGTGTGGCCGCCAGAGCTCCCGGCACCAACACGGTCCCGTCTCTGAACCTTCCCAGACTCGCTCCTTGACACAGGAGCTACGCCTGTGGTGCCCACTGTCCCTTTCCTCCCACACTTCTACTGACCCCGCTCGTCCATCCTGTCACTTCTGGGGCTGCTCACCGCTCCCAGACAAAACTTTGGATGCAGTGGGCCAAAGAACAGTCCAGGGACCCAAGGAAGCCTGTGCTCAGCTCCTCATGCCTTGGCGGGCCAGGACCCAGGAATGAGGACAGGGGGCCCAACCTCCAAGGAGGATGAGCAGCTCTGATGAGGACCCAGGAGGACTGGACAGGGAAGGGCAAATGTGAGTAAATGAAGCCAGCTGTACAAGGCTGCCTCCACAAGAGTCTGTCCAGGAAAGCCTGGGACACTCGTGGACAGAGTAGACACCAATGATGCCACTGCCTCTGCCCATCACTGTACACATCCCATGCAGCCAGTCACAGCAGACTTACTTGTATGGTCTCTGAGGTAAGACGCTGATCTGGGTCTTGTTGAGGATCTTCTTTAGCTTGCTCCTCCTTCCCACCGTGTTGGCTTGGCTCTTCTTGTTCACCTTCTCCAGGCCGATCACCTGCTCCACGTCCACGGCCAGGTCCAGGATGGAGCAGCAGCTGGCCTTCTTGATGTCTCTGATTTTAGTGAGGTGTGCGGCACCATTTCTCTTCTCTTCTGACAATCTTGGTAGAAGTTCTTTAAATACTGAAACAGACACAGAAGCATCACAAAACACCACTTGCAAGAAACCTGAACACCCCTTGGCAACCACAGAACCTGGGAATACGTGAGAAGTTCGGACTCCAGTTCCCAAAACTGACGCCAAGGACCTGCCTTGTTTGCTGCTTTAGCAGTGATTAAGAAAGTGATGCACTCCTTACAGGTGTATCGGTGTTTCCCAAGAGAATACAGATCTCACTTATTAATAAACAAAGAAATAAAAATAACTTTATGGTCTTCAAAAAGGACTTCAATTTAGATCTAATTAATTATGTAATAAAGCCTGTATTTATATTTTATTAGATTTTTATCCTGATTATGTTTTCAATTATAGAAATTACTACTTTCACAACTAAGATCTATATGTAAAAACACCCTCCACCTCAGAAAAAGAGAAAATTCAAAGTATGCGAAAAATACTTACCAAATAAATTTGTTTTCACAGTGATAGACAGATGTGTATTATTTCTAAGAATTTCCATGGCTTTTGACAGCTGGATATTTTCAAAGTTTTGACCATTTACTTCTAATATCTAAAAGTGAAATTTAAAATTAACATCAGTGTCATTACTCTGGAGGAAAAAAATGATACTAAAATTCACCCTCACTCGGGGTCAGGAGCCACGCACCTGATCGCCACGCTTCAAGCCGGCCTCGGCTGCTTTGCTGCCGGGGTCCACGCTGTCCACGAAGATCCCAAAGCCCTTCTCAGAGCCACCGAGCAAGAGGAAGGGCAGCGGGGCCTCTCGGCACGGCTTGGTCAGCGTCATCAGCCTTCCTTTGGCTTTCGCAGCACAGGCCAGGTTCAACAGCTTGAGGTGGCCGCCCATTTTCTGCAAGAGCCCAGAAAGGTGCTATCAATTCAGAGACAGGAGCTTGAAAGAAACCCAGAGCTGGTACTTTAAAAAAAAAATCCAGTATTACCTCTCTTTCCATGTTATTTTCAAACACTTCTAGAAATCGAGTCATTTCAGGGTCTCCTTCAAAGTCACTGAAGTGATTGTTCACCCACAGCAGGACTACCCATGTCACCTGAAAGACAGTTCTGGTAAGTCACCTTGTTTTAGTGCCAAGACTGAAATCACATCACGAAAGGTACTTAAATTTCAAACAATTTACTTTATACTGCACAAACTACAAATTTCAACAGACATACTACTCATAAAAAATGACTGTCTGAAAATACATGTACTAGAAATGCAGCTTCATTGGGCTAGGCCTGTGGAGGATTTAACTAAACATCTTGCTTTGCTTTTGCTTTTTGGTACCAGGGATTGAACTCATGACTTGCACTTGCCAGGCAAGTGCCATCTTGCCTTACTTTCAAAGCATGCTCAAAAGAAGTCAGAATGAAAGCAAAAGTACAACAAAACCAAATTAGCTTAAAACAACAGAAGAGAGAAACTAAAAGCTCAGGGGAGAGGACAAAGTAGGTAAGGAGGTGAGCAGTGTTAGCCTAGAAAGATCCGAGAGGAAGGAAGGCGTTAAGACAGCCCTGTGTGGCTGGCTCCCCGAGGCTAGCTCGGCCGAGCCCCACGCCAATGGGGAATCTGTGTGGAACGTCCCTGCGTGGACAGGGACGGCCGTAACGGACAGCACTTCCCAGGTCCACCGAAGCAAGGTGACTGTGTGAACTCTCTCCCAGAACAGCAGGGTTCATGGGTTGAGATGTTAGGCTAGGTTACCGTCTAACACATTTCCAGTATGAGTAAGTTTAAACGTTTAGTGACCGACTTATTCGTGTTCGCATTTAAAGAGAAACAATCTATTTTCAAATTTGGACCTAAACATGTATAACAAGAAATGTTAATCTCCATTGTTTTGATGAAGTTTTCTGATATTCTATTAAATTGCCAAATCTGCAAGCTCACATTACAGTATTCCCCATGGAAGAGCCAGAAAGAACGCATTTCCAACCTTATCCCTGAGGGTCGGGTCGTTAAACCACTCCAGCAACTTCTTGCCCACTTCCATTGGGCTAGACAGGAATGTCCGGTAGGTCAGCAGGAAGTCCTCTATGAAGGTTGGATCCACCACCGAGTGCTCCTCCACCAGATGCATCATCAGCCTCTCGGAGGTGCCCTGAGACAAGAAAGAGGCTTGGGCACCAGCTGGAATGGACACTGACATGGTCCTGCACGTCAAGCCTTCAATGTAGTGCAAGCCGGGCAGCAGCACCCATTCATAAGCTGGGACTCATCCAGAAGGGCAGAGATCTTCTCAGTACTACTCATCACCTGCCAGAAGCATCACCTCTCAAGGATGTGCTCCCGCCTCACCTTGATGACAATGTGGCCCTTCCTGGTTCCGGTCCGGTCAAGCTCTCGGTGCTCTTTTACCATGACGATCTCTCCCTCCTCTTCGACTTTCTGCATGTTCTTCTCCACTTGGTTGAGGATACGGCAATAATCTTGCTGCACGATGCAGACAAACTGGGAGAAAACCAAAGGCACAAGCGAAGATGAAGTGCTTGCAAAACACCTGTCATGCTAATAATTCAGTGTTTAAATGATTAAAACTGGCATTTCCCCCTGTCTGTCCCATAGTTTCTAAATTAATGCAGTAATGAACCTTAATCAGGCTTCCCTACTCATCATACATTTTCTTCATTACTCAAGAAAAGTTTAGTTTTTAGAATATGTATATTACATTCAAAGTGCCACCAACTAAAAAACCAAAAGGCAAGGTACAAGGTCTTTCCTCAAACTTCTTTCCCAGTGGGGTTTTCTGGGCCAACAGACAAAAAGAATTATCTTTTGGATTTCTTCTGAAGATTTTCTAAAAGTAACCATTTAAAAATAATGGTTTTCATGAAAGCCACAAATTCAGAGACACTGTATACACTGCTGGTCATAGGGATGAGAAGTCGCAGGCAGCCGCAGAATGGCCAGTCCCTTCCACTGAGAACAGTGACCCAGCACTGCAGGGGGGTGGGGGGGACCTCTGTGCCACACCTAGAACGCTTCCAGGCTCCGGGATGTCCCTTTCCTAATGGTTCTAAACAAGTTAAAAGTCAGCGTGGTGGGCGCTCTGGCGTCCTGGACAGAACATCGTCGCCCTCTCCGCATGGTTCTGTGAGCGCTAATAAACTGTCGGGACTCGCGGCTTTAGGATTCTAAAACGGACACTGGACCGGTGAGGCATGCGCCACTCATCTCGGCCCTGAAGGAGCCTGAGGCAGGAGGATTGCAACCCGTCTCAAAAAATAAAAGGGCCTGGGAATGTAGCTCAGTGAGAAGCCCTGGGTACCAACCCCCATACGAAGGCAGGGAGGTCACACAGAAAGGGCCGGAACTGACCAGCGCTGGTCTGGTCTGTCAGAGCCCAGCAAGCCACTACCGCTGCTGCCTTAGGAAAAGCGCCCCTGCAGGCCGGGGTCCAGGATCGGATGGCACCCAGAACCTGGCGCAGGGGCTGGGCCTGCAGTCATGTGAGGGCCCGCAGCAGTCCCCTCTGTACCCCATTGTTTCAGCGTCCTAAACCCAAAGAGCTGTCTGGCCTGGCTGCAAGGGAGTCCGCTGCACAGCATAGGCCCTACCCCTACCCGGTAAAGCACAGCGTGCACTTTAAAACAGCGCCGCACAGGGAAAATGCAGACATTGCTCACTACACAACACAACTAGAGTTCAGTGAGGTGGTCAAAGCAGACACCTGAGCAAATAAAAACCAGACCATTTATGAAATGGTCTGCGAATGAACAGTAGATGGGTTTCTTTTTGTTTTGGGTTTTTTTTTTTTATTCTTTTTTAATGATACCAGGAATCAAACTCTTGACCTGGTGCTCACCAGGCAAGTGCTTGTAACTTTGCGCTAATGAAAACTAAGCTGGTGGTCAGAGCTCCACTTTCCAGGCTCTGGTGTCCTCAAGCTGCTCTAGCAAGACATCCCATAAATGCCGGGGGTGCCCCACACTATCACCACCCGGGTGGCCTGAGCCACCCAGCGCCGCCCACACTGCCCTCTCCCCGCCCTCGCAATCACACACAGGCTACTTTCACACCGCGCACCGCGCCAGCTTCGTGGGGAAAAGGCCCCTCCGCGACTGCGCGCGCTCACCTGCAGCACGGGGAAGCCACACAGATACAGCGTTTCTGCGCGCAGTAAATGGCAGTAGTTACATCGACTTCCAAAAACATCAATTTCTTCAATATTGGGGAACAGAGAAAATGCTCAGATGAGAAGGGGAACAACCGAGAGGGGAGGGAGAAAGCAAAGAAGGGACGGGAAAAAGGATAGAAGGGAAAAATGGAAAGGTTTTATACATAAAGAAGGGAAGAGAGGTTGGAGGGCGGAAGGGGAATGGGAAGAAGCAGCGGCCTGACTCATCAGGTACAGGGCACGCTCCTTCCTGGTGAATGCTACCATTATGTGCATCTAAAGTGCACCAGTAAGATAAAGACATTTCTAAAATCCCGTTTCTGTAACACGGACCATCCAAGATTGTTCCCCAAATTTGAATATGAGATTTAGAAAAGTTTTATTTCCAAGTAATTTTAGGTTTTTTTTTTTTACAGTCAAGTTTTAGAGAACATAATTTAAATTTTCTCATTTATTGTCTAACAAAGAAATACAGTCCTGTGTTAAATAAATAAATTTGAGAAAGAAAATGCTTTTTCCAACAGAGTGTCCAGTGAATTACTCTTCTTGACAAAAGACTGACATGAGATAGGATAAATTTGATTTGAAATTCTTAAGTGTCTACATATTTTGGCATTTTTTCAGGATCATACTAAAATGTTATGAGAAATCAGGAGGACCTCAAAGTCAAGGTATTTAAAAAGAAAGAAGTTTTTACTTGGAATTGTTTATCTTCTTATTAGGAACTTATTTTTATTTAAATGAAACTCATGAATAAAACCTACCTTGTGTGATAAAAGTTGAAAACTTATGAATTGTTTTAGAGGTTTTAAACTTTTGGGCAGATGTGAACAAATGGGAATTACATGTCATCTTAGCATCCTCACGGGAAATCAAAGTTCAGATTTACTTACAAAAAATCAACAGGCAGGCTGGAAAGCTATCTCAGTGGCAGACCACTGCTTGGAATGCCGGGGCCCTGGGTTCACACCCCAGCATGGCAAACAAACAAACAAAAAAAAACAAAAAAACCCCAGCATATGACATCATAATTTATCTTGAAGTTTAAAATTGCAAGTGATATAAGAATGAAGCAAAATTAAACGTCGATCAACATGCTGCACAGATAACTGGCCTATTTGGCCAGGCTGCTTTCTCACCCAGACTCCTCACCTTCAGTGTCACGCTCTCCAATGGCCCCGCAGCTCCGCAGCCACGAGTCTCGTGCAGGCTGACTGCAGGAGGTGGATCTGTCTAAACCGGAGCTGTGCCCACATCACTGAAGGGTGGGAGCAAGTCCCACACACAGGCCAGGAGTGAGGCAGAGGGGGGAGACGGCGAGGACGAAGGGAGACAGGGGCACAGGAGAAGGGAAGAGTAGAGGTGCCTGTCTGGTGGTACTGCAGGGGTCTGCACCAGGCTCTGACTCTCGGTAAGAAGCAGCTGGAGACAAGGGACCACAGAACAGAGGAGGGACCAGGCAGTCTTGGGCTTCCAAGATCATTGTGGCTCTCCACTCACCACCTCACTCTCTGCTGTGCTGAGCTGGGCGCCACTCCTCTCACCAGCGAACACTTATCTTGGACCCGCTGGAACATTAGGACACAGGGACGAACCCTAAGCAAAGTTCTTTTTCTTGCAAAAGCTCTCACTGCTTTTGTTCATTCCAACTGGTGACCACCGATAGCATGCAACATTCCGCAGAATGACAGGACACCAGTGGCCACTGTACGATGGCCCCACCTGCTACCAAGAGGCGGGGCTGACATGTGTTCCCTGCAGAGTAAGGAGAATTTAAGGAAGGACGCTAAGATGCCATCCCGAACACACATGGTAGCTATGGGGTGGCCATCACTGCTGTGGTTTTAAGGGGTGTGTGCCAGCAACCCCTGCATTAGCACGCTCTGATGATGGCATGGGGCAGAAGGCAGAGCTGGCTTCTCTAGCAGATAGCTCACCCAGTCCCTTTCCACTTCACAGGAGGAGCCACAGCACCCACTAACCTCCATGAGAGCCCTGCTCTGCCGTGTGTGTGTGTGTGTGTGTGTGTGTGTGTGTGTGTGTGTGTGTGTGCGTGTGTGTACCTTGCTACCACCATCTCGCAGCAAGGCTTCCCACCACCAACAGACTATACCCTCCCTAACCCCTGGCCTCTGTCCTTCCTCCTCGCTTCCGGAGCCTTTAGGGAAACGGCCACCCTTACCTGGTACAGCACACATGCCTGGGGCACTGTGACCCTTGTCACATAATACTTCTATTACTCATTCTGAAATACTTGTGCGTCTCCTACCAATTCAGCCCCACGGTCACAAAATTTCCAACAAGGCAGTCTGGCCCGTTGAGGAGCATTAATACACATGCTGAACTCCCAACCATGAAGCAGCCCTTTCCTGGCCACAGGGAGACTCTGTCTCAAATGTCACTGTAGCTGCAGCATGAAGAAGAAGGTTGGAAGGGGACAGAGCACAGGAGGAAGAAGAGAGCTTCATCTCTTGGCTCGCTCTGAGCCTGTTTGCTTCAAGGATTTTTCTGGACCACACAGATGCCACACAAAGATGCCAAATGCCACACAAAGATTCGGGGATTTAGAGATTATTCTATTTTGTCCCATTACTCTAAATAATTGAGTGGTGACAACATAGTATGATTTTCTGGCATTATATATTTAAAATATTGAATTTAAAAGTACTTTGGGTCAGTACTATTTTCTTATAGCCTTAGTTATATTCATTTTATTAACTTTACATGCATGACATAAAGAATTTCAGTAAGTGATGCCATTTTACATAGCTCAGACACTACAAAACTTCAGCTCTTTCTTTTACAATAAATTATATTCAGAGCATGTTCAGACTACATTAATAAACAATGAGTACAATATTAATTAGTGTATGTCAAATTTTTAAAACAATTTATCTTTTAAAGACAAAAGTTTTTAGAGGGTAGTACGTAAATTACAAATAGCAAAAATTTTGAACTTATTCATAATATATACATTAATCTAAATTTCATAGTTGGGACTAGGAGTATGGCCCAGTGAAGCAGCACTTGCCTAGCTCGCACAAGACCCAGAGTTCCATCTTCAGAACTGATATAAATTAGTTAATTAAACTTTTATCTAGAAAATATAAAGAACTTTTTAAAAAAAAAACAGCCCACCCAAAATTCAAAGACCCAATCCAAAAACGAGCATCTGAGATGAATACACAGTTCTCAGGTAAAGAAATACAAAAGGCAAATAAATATATGAAAAAATGTTCAACATCATTGGTCATTAGAGAAATGTAAATTAAAACCACACTGAGATTCCATCTCACCCCAGAAAGAATGTCCAGGATCAAGAAAACCACCAACAACAAATGCTGGAGAGGCTGTGGGGAAAAAGGAACTCTCCCACACTGTTGGTGGGAGTGTAGACTGGTGCAACCACTGTGGAAATCAGTTTGGAGGTTTCCTCAAAAAGCTGGGATTGGAAGTCCTGTTTGACCCAGCTATTCCACTTCTGGGCATATTCCAGAAGAAGTGAAAACACACCCAGTCATGTATGTGCACCCATGTTTATAGCAGAACAATTTGTCATAGTCAAACCTTGGAAACAACCCAAATGCCCATCAACTGAGGAATGGATAAAAAAGATGTCGTATTTTTATACAATAAGAGTACTGAGCTATAAAGAAGGATCACACTGAGGCTTTTATAGGTAAGTGAATGCAAGTTGAGACCGTATTCAGAAGTGAAATAAATCAAATTCACATGTGTTAATACCCTACTGTAAGAAACTGAAAGAGCAAATAAGATCCAAAATCTTCAATAAGTATTGTGAAAGGGTAAGAAACAGCTCAAAAGGGAAAAATAACTCAGGGAAAAGAAAATAGATGTAAAATTGTAAATATACACTTAAGATAGTTAAGATGATGGTACTACTAATTCTATTAGTTCCTGGAGCAATACAGTTAACACTCATAGGATTAGATCAATTTTACATGTCCATATCTAGTAATCTGAGCAGCTCTTTTGAAAATAACTATGCAAAATAAACATCTTTGTTAAGTTCCTTCCACCTTGTTTTGAAAGCCTATATTGTTACTGTTTTGGGTTTTTTGTTATTGTAGTTTGTCTCTCCTGTTTCTTGCTTTTCTTGTATTTGTTTGTTTTTCCCTCTTTAAAATAAAACTTTAAAAATTAATTAATTTCCTATTTGGCCATGCATTTTCCTTTACTCTATTACTAAAGGTTTTTAAATAGTGAGTACTGATACAGTATCAATACTGATACTACTTCTCTTTGGTTATTGTATTCTTATCAGCAATTATTTTACTAGTATTTTTCATCAGCAATTATTTATTACTGATTCAGCCCACATCTCTTCAAAAATCCATTTATTTTTGTATGTATTTAAATAACATTGCAGAGTTGCACATCATCTTTACTAATTTATTTATAATTCTTTCTAGAATGTGTGTCTGGCATCCGTATTTTTGATGAACAGACCATTGATAGAGATTTTAAAATACCCTAAAACAGAATGCTTTTTTAAAAACAGAACACATAGTGCTGTTGACTTCAGCAAACTCAGATGGACATTTAGTTTTAGTATCCTCACATATCATAAGACGAAAAGTAATTGTTCTATGTTCAGACGTTATTTGCAAATCTAAAAGATGACGAATTAACACATACAGAAACCTCAGTCCACAACTGCACACGCATTTCCTTTATTTAGAGAAACATCGGCCTAGGCTCATAGCCCAGCATCCAGCACAACTCTTGCTCAGCACCTGCAGGGCCCTGGCTCCACCCCGAGCACCCCACCAGCTGGCCAATCTGTCCCATGTGTACCGTTAATGATGTGTCATATCTGGCAGTCATCCACCTTCATTCTCATCCCTCATTTCTTGTACTCTTTGTACTCCAAAACTATTTCCCATGCACAGTATTTCTGCTTTTCCATTTGGCTAAGTCACTTCCACAGAACCACTGATAATCACAGACCAGGAGTCCAGCTGGTCAGAAGGAGTGGAAACAAAGAGGAAAAGAACACTGTGGTCACACAGCACTGAACGCCCTGAGTTCTAGCCCCAGCACTGCAAAACAAAAACCTTCTGAAAGCACTATCAGTGTACCATATGGAATGCGATACGTAATACAAAATAGAACAATAGGACCTGGAGTATTGTGACAAAATGTATCTCACAATTCTTGATGGATTATTATTATTGATTTTATTATTAATGTTTTTTCAAGGAAAAAGTAAGACTTGGATTTCCATCTGAGTGTTGTACCGAGAGGCCCTGTGAGCAGAGAAACGTTTACCAACCTCTTCACCATCATTTAGCACGATGGTCCTTGCTCTCTCCACCACAGCAAAAACCATGACAGCACAGAGCTCTCTCCGCACCGACATCGTCATGTTCGCAAAGGCAGGCAGCTGGTGCATGAATTCCAGGAGTTGTTCTGAAAAGCAACACACACTCCATGTCAAAATGACAGCTTTTATTAAAAACAAGCCTTCAGAAAGAATGCTTTACGCTGGTGCGTGCCTGTAACCCCAACTTCCCAGAAGACTGAGGCAAGGGGATTCCAAATTTGAGACCAACCTCGGCAACTTAGCAAAACCTTGATAGCTCAAAATAAAAGAGGTTGAGGCTATGGCACAGCATTGGAAAAAACAGCAGCAACACACACTTTAAATGCTTTAAAGTTCCATCTTTGCAAATGCTTTACAACCCATCTATTGATTCAGTGTAAGCTGAACGTCCAGCACGTTTATATCAGCTGGTCGCCAAGGCCACGGCGATCTCCCCTTGCTGATTCAGTAGCAACAGTTGACATCCCAAATTGTAAAGGCTGTGAAGAAATCACTAAACTTCAACTGGGGACTTCCAATTACACATGAGCTGTGATCTTGTTAACCACATACTAAGAGCTGGTTGAAATGAAATGAAACTCAGAGTTTTCCAGAAGGTCCATTCAGCAGGTCCATTCTGGAGCTTTCTAAGTAGGTAGACAACCAAATCATTTAGTAAAAACAGCTGCTTTTAATGCAAAAATATTCCAGGGGAGATTTTCTGTGGGTCAGGGAAATTTATAAAAATGTGACATTTAAAAATTTACAATATAATATGACAAATATAAACGAGAACGGATACAGCATTCCTTGTCCTGCAGACAGGCAAGAAGAGGAGCTGGTTCCTCTTCCACGGGGGACGTCACACAGGAGCGCAGCTGTGGACACAGCCGGCTGCTGACTCGAGGGCTCCGTGCCTCTCACTCTCAAGACTCCTTACTCCCTAACCACTGGCTCTCCGAATCCCTCATCCCTGGCTCTATGGCATATGTGTTCCTTGTTTCCTAGGGAGGAAACTGGAGCCAGAAACACACCGGAGAGGACTCAGAGCTGCTGCCTCTGAGGCACACGATGAGTTCTACAGCAGGTTGTGAGGGCACGGGGCAGACCTAGGACCTGCTGGCTGTGCCATGTCTGGCACAGGATTAACCCCAGGCAGTTACCTCACTTGCAAGTAACAGAGCATCTGCTTCACTGGATAGAAGTAAGAATCTAATACAAAACACAGCCCTGTCACAAAAGAATCCTCAAGGCATGAGAACTGCAACTGTCACCATGGCAGCTGAAGCACCCACCTTTCAGCAAGCGGCACAGTGCCCTTTCCTTGTCACCCACATAATGGAACTGTCCCTATGCACCTCCTTCTGGAGAAAACTGAGGATACACTGCTAAAGACAGGAAGCTATGTTCCTCGAAGATGCTACCCTTCCAGAAGGACGGAGTGATTGCCTTGGCCCAGCTGGGCATCCTCGAGTCCTCACTGCTCCCCTCCTGCCTCCATGTCGCATCCCCAGCAAGGCTGTGGCCATAGGAAGTGCGACTCCATGAGCAGAACCCAGGAAGCCTGTCCGACAGGTCCGGTTCTTTAGCCTCACCCAGATATATGTATGTGTTAGGCAATCAGTTTATTTTGCAACCAGCACTTTTTCAAAAAAAAGAAGAAAAAATTCAAAACATATGACTCTGAGAAAACAAATTCTGCTCTGTGCAACATTTATTTCTGAAATAAGTAGGTGTGTCTGTGTTCTGCTTCAACATAGATTTAGTCTTGGGGACAGTCACTGCAGGAAATGACCCACACCTATCATATAAAAGGTGAGACATGCCGGCCGCCCTCCCAGGCAGACCCCATACACAACACTTCCCTCCCCCAGGAGCTGCTGAATTTCCATGGGCAACGAGATTCTTGGCTTTGAAGAAAACTCAAGAGTAGAAATTAATCATCTGCCAGGAAGCCTCTGACTCTAACAAGTTGGAGTAACAGAAGTCATTATCACACATCTGACTGGAGATGAAGTACACGGAAAACAAGGGACTCCACCAACATACCACCACCACGTCCCAGCACCTCCTGCAGACATAGGCTTTGCTTTCTGATGGACTCTGCCTCTGCTGGGGGCCCCGGCAGTGTTGATGCCAGTGTCCCCCACTGTCCTGCACTCAGGGTGGAGCTCGGGGAGTGCCCCATGGAGGGCGGTGATTGCTGTGCTCCCCACTGCAGCGCTTCTACCTCGCACAGTCTCTCACTCTGCCCATTGCTGCCAAAGTGTAACCCTTTCCACGGGTCACCCCCTGCCACACTGTCCTGCCTCAGAGGTGCCAAGACATACTGCACCCCTTTAAGTGGTAGTATGGGTGCCTGGTCCCAGAGAGGACAAGTGTGTGCAAGACAGGGTCGTGAAAGCAGTCTGTGATACAGGAGCAGTGACAGGCACTGGAGAAGCCCAACAGGCAGAAAGATCTATGTGCAGTCAGCACAGGTAACAAGAGGGACAGGAAAGGTCCAGCAACAGCAGATGCACATAGTGCTCCAGGCTCCAGTGAAAGGCCAGGAGGGCACAAAGATTTAACCAGGTAGCAGCTGAGAGGGTCTGAGACGCAAGCCTTCAGCAACATCCAGCCACTGCTTCATGGTAATTTCTCCCCAACTTTGTTCCTGGTGGGAGAGAGAGCACCTCAATGGAAGGATTCCCTGCAGCCCATCTCTGAAAACGCAGTCAGTGTAAACCAGAAGCACTTGGCTTACACTGACAGTGCCACAGGGGTCACAAAGCTAAAGGGACCAAGAAGGCTTTGGACAGAACTCTGGAGGGTACTTGGTCCATCATGAGGATGGAGACAGAGGCCGAGACAGGGAGAGGTGAGCGGCACTACCTTTCTATTTAATAACCGATTTACGACATCAGAGGCCTATGTTGGTTTGAGTGATTCAGTTTCCTATTAAAAATTTTTACTAAAGAAACACTCTAGTTTTTGGTGGCACATGAAGCCAGGAGAAAAGGAACTGCGAGATCAAAGTTCTCATCTACCTTAATATTTCAAGCCTTCAAAACAATACATGTTACCGCCACTTGGTAAATGAGTCTACACAAGGACCACGAAGTCCCTTCTTGAATGGATGGAAACAAATAGATGCACAAGAATCCACCACAGCCTAAAAGGAATTTTTTCCCATGCAGTGGCCAAAAATACAATTATATTACTAATTCCATGTGTTCACCTTAAACACTGATGCGTGCACATGCACACACACACACAATCTCTCCTCCTCATCTTAGGGGGTAAAGGGAGTGGGTGGGAGGAGGCATCCACAAGCAGGCCCTGGGTTCTTTTAAAGGGCGTCTGCCATAACCGACACTGGCAGGTACCTCGGGGCTACCAAGAGCTACAGGCGCTCTCGCCTGGCCCTTTTTAACTGTACTAGAACACATTTAGTGCTGTTTACACTCCTTGCAGGGAACTAGAATATGTGTGTAATACATCTTGGTTCCTTTTTCTCATTGCTCTCCATTCCTTATTTTTTTTTCTTTTGGTTCACATTTCCTTGTTTTTTTTTTTTCATAGAAGATGATCTTTATTGGTGCATTTTAGCTATGCGTAATGACTGCATTCATAATAGGGAATTTGTACCCGTATCTGAAATAACTTCACTCTTTTTCCCCTGTTCTGTTACCCTCCCTTCAGTCTTTCTTCTCCTTCTTGTTGACAAAAGCTTTGTTTCCATTTTTCCTTCACCCCCCTTTTCATTAGGGGAAATGGTCTGTATTTCTCTTTCTTGGTTGGACCCTCTAGTTTTGGTATCAAGGTAATGCTTGCTTCTAGGAATAAATCTGGGAATACCGTTCCCCTTTCAGTTTCACTAAGAGTTTGGGAGGTAATGATATTAGGTCTTGTCCAAATATCTTGCAGAATTCAGCCATGGATCCATCAGGACCTGTACTTAGATTTGTAAGTTTTTAATTATATCCTTGATTTCAATCACTGTTATTGGTTCAGTTAGACTTTTTATATCTTTCTGATTCAGCTTTGGTAATTCTTGTGTATCCAAGAATCTGTCGATTTCTTCTGCATTCTCCATCTTACTGAAATACAAGTTCTGGAAGTGAGTATCTTTGTTACTTTTCTCTCATTGCTGAGACAAAACACCTGATACTTCAAGTTGAGGAAAGATTTATTTAGCTCACGGTTTGTGGAGGTTTCAGTCCATAATCAGCTGGCTCCAAGGTAGAGTGGTGTGGAAGAGGGGCAAGAGTTCATGGCAATAAAAGACAGCAAAAGCAGCAAGAGCAAAAAAGGGCAAAACAAGTCTCTCTCTGTCCCTTTTATTCAGAATGCTGGGATTAGGGGTGGTGCCAATCCAATCAGTGGATTGATTCAGCAATCTCCCAGCATCCTTAATCGTGATTTGCCCTAAAATTCAGGTTGGTTTGTGTCCAGACCCATTCAGCCTACAGCAGTTAGTGTGCTGTCTATGGGCTTTGGGGTCCACTAGGTGGAGTCAGCAGTGGTTATGAGTTTTGAGCTCAGTTAATCCCTCTCCAACATGGTTCCTGGCCAATCGTCCTCTCCTGGGTGATGTCTGAACCTGCACCACTCACCAGCCACTGCAGTGCTCCATTCCCTCTGCTCTTTTCCATTGCTGCGTCTCTCTGTGGAGGCTACTGAGTAGCCAGCATTCACCACAGGACTGCAGGTTTGAGTTGCCCCTCCCACACACTGAGTCTGGGCTCCAGGAGAAGGTGCCAGCTGCCACCTTCTCCTCCTCTGCTGAAGTTTCCCTTTGCTGTCCCGGTGGGCTTCAATCCTCGTACTTCAGATCCTTCCTGGTCCCCAAGACTCACTGCCCTACTTCTTTTTTGCCACGTTGCTATATTCCAGTGTCTGGACACCAAATCTCAGAGGCTCTTTTTTGCTCACCACTTTGCCATCTTCCCAGAAGTCCTCTCCATCCACCTCTTGATCCCTTTTCCCTTTAGGAAAGCTCCAGCCCCCTACTTTCTATCAGCTATCTTTTTCTTTGCCCTTCATTTGTACTTTGGATTTTTCATATAAGGGAGACCATGCAATGTTTAAGCTTGTGTGCCTGACATTTCACATAACATTGTTTCAAGGTACATCCATTTTGCTACACGTGATTCAAACTATCTTTCCTTTGTAGTTTTATTTTGAGGGATATAGACTATGAGATCTTTGAAGTTCTCCTTAGGAAAAAAACACATACTTCACTTGAGTTTAGCCAATTTATTTCTTTAAATAAATGTGCATTTGATAGCAGCAAGTATCAGCATTATCACCACCTATAAAGTAATTGATATTCAAATAAATGTTAATCACTATAGAAATTATACTGATGAGCATATTACAAAGAAAAAAGGGAAGAAAAGAAAGAGGGAAGACAAGACAAAAAGTGTTGCTTGGGCCTGGTAGCCCGTAGTCCGAGCCATGATCTGGACAGTATTGCTTAAACCATGCCCAGGCAACATCATGAGATCCTTGTAAACAGGAGAGGAAGGACAAAAAAAAGGAAAAGGGGAGAAAGAACAAATGAGCAGCTTTGGATTTACTTATCAGAATCAAAGCACAAATTCTGCTTTCCAGAAATCTGGGGAGAGGCTTCTCAGATGTAAGGTGAAAGTCACAGATTTCTAGGAATGACCTATGTGAATACACACTAGTGGCCCACATTCCTCCCACAAGTCTCCCCAGATGAACAGGTTACAGAGCATATGTGTGTCCATGCAAAGGGTCGCTTCTGAATGGGTCCACGCATAAGCAATAGCCTACCAGTGAGTCCATCTGTGAGCCAGGCTGCTCCACTAAGAAGGAAATTAAACCCCTTTTAATTTCCCTCTTTCCTTACAACAGAGGGGTTTTTTAAAAAACAGCAGCAGGCCATGATCAAATAACAAGAGAGTAAAAGCACAATTTTGGAGCCTAAAAGTCAAATGAACACTTGGACCACACCCATGAGAAAGTGAGATTTGAAGGCTTTGCAAGTAAAACTGAGACTCATCTGGCCTCGCCTGCCCCTGGTCGCAGCCCTTGCTCCACACCGGCCGCTGGCTCCTGTGTAACTTGCTCCTTCAGGATCTCCTCACAGACCTCGACCCAGCAAGGACCCTGGCACCCTGCTCAGTGAAGCTGCCATGAGCTGGCCGAGCGCTCCGTGGAAGAGGCACTTGGCGCTGCTGGATACAGGAGAGCTGAGGGACCATTATTGCATCGCAGTGCTCATCCAGACAGTCACAAACTTCCACAGAGCAAAGGATGGTGAATGAACTTTGCACATCTCACCCAGGTTTTGATTTCCCATCCTCGATTGCTAGTACATATACATAATTTAAATGCTTGTCTTACACACACACACACACACACACACACCCTCCCACATACAATCCCACAAACACAGCCACCTCGTTTTTCTTAAGAACACCTGGGCTCAAGAGGGCTGGGAGCGCAGCAGGACCACCAGGTGGTCTGGCTCAGGCAGGCATGGACAAGGGCCCAGAGCTCCGGAGGGAGAGGGCGCTCCACAGGCAGCATCTGCACTGTACCTCTCTAAGTAGCAGCCAGAGTGTAGCCACTCTGGTGCACAGCCCCTCAGCCTTGCCTGGGCTCCTGCTGTCCCCACATCACAGGAGAAGCAGCAACCCCTGCCTGCTATGAGCTGAGGGGACCAGGACCCACAGAAAAGTTACAGGAAGACAGCTTCTCTGGATGGCTGCTCCTGACTTCCTGGTGGTCATAAACTTCATAAAGGATGAAGTGACCTGGGGAGGCGTTTTCCTAGGGCATTTCCCTCAGAGTGTTACTGTTACATTCATAAGGGCATGAAGTAAAACTGACCTTTTCCAACACTTTTCCAGTAAATACTCATGTTTACACAATGGAGATTAATAAACTTCCTGGAAGCTTCTTGGGCCTGCGGCGCCATCTGCCGGCTTCCATACTCACCAATGTCTTCCTGGGTCCTGTGGATCAGGTCCTTCTCCAGACAGTCCCACACGATGTCCCTGCTCATCAGCAGGTCCAAGGCCCTCTGGATGTCCTCCTCGTCATCCTCATCCTCGGAGTCCACTGCCTTTTCTGGTAACCCGCTCAAGTCCATATCACCAGCTTCACTTTCTGTGGCCTGAAGATAGGCAAAACAATTTTTAAAAGAACTATTTAAGCAGATCAATCTTTGCAGCTCCGAAGAGAAAACAACAATTTTTCAAAAGTTTGATTTTTCTGTAACTATGTTAAATGGATCCAGCACCTCACAACTACTCGCCAAATGTTATAAAAAAGAATTACTTCAACAAAACATGAGTGATTTTATCTACATGAGTGATTTTATCTATTAAAATGTAAATCAGAATCAGTAATTTTTATCTCAGTAATTCTGACTTCTTACCTGTGTGGAATTTGAAACACAGAACAAAGAAGAAAAGGATAGTATTTGCTTTCAGTAAGTTTTTCAAGAAAATGGTTAAGATAAGGGCCTCAGGGAGATGAACTGTTAATTCTAAGCAATTCCTCCTCCAGAAAAATTAGAGGAGTTTCCTAATGCCAAGAAGACAGGACCACTTTCCCCCTATTAGAAAGTCATAAAATATGAACTGTAAACTAATGGTAACCTGATAAATACACAAAACAAGCTCAAACCAAGACCTAGATTTCTTTTGGGGGGGGGGTGGTGGTGAGGATTGAACTCATAACGTTGCATTTTCCAGGCAGGAGGCACTTATACCACTGAAGTAAAACCTCCAGCCCAACCTGGGTTATTCTAACAACCACTCTCGAATTCCAAGTCAAGCCTGAAGGCAACACATCTCACCATCAACTGCTTCCCAGGCAAAGGCAGAGGGGAAAGGACCCCAACATGTGGACACACTCGTGGTGCCAATTGCAGTCTCTCCTGCCCAGCTGTCTGCAGACCAGACTACTGTCTTTTTAGGTCAACCCACAGCCTTTCCTCAAGGGGTCAGCAACCTGTAAACTTGCATCATATTGGACTTAGTTAAAATCTTAGTTAACATAAAGACAGATTCACTCCGGGGAGTAAGAATGAACTGAATTAAAAGCTAATGGCATTTCCAACTGAAATACTAAAGTCTGTAAAACTTAACATTAACTTTGTAGAAAATGTGTATTACAAAGTTTTATTAACTTTATAAAATATAGCGAGCAGGCAGGTGCCTTCTATCCATGGAGCCCAGCTTGTTTGGGACCCTCGCACCGTTTGGGTGCCATGGAACAGCTAGGTGGGTCTGGGGTGCCTGCATCTGTTTCAACATTCAGGCTGTGCATGGTGAACTGTGGAGTTCTAAGCAACCAGGCTGGTGCCCACTTTCCCCAGAGCCCAGCTTGTTTGGGACTGTGGAGTTCTAAACAAGCAGGCAAGGGCCACTAGGTCCAGAGGCCCGGCGGCTTGGGGGAACTGGGTGCCAGAGTCCCACGAGCTGAGGGCATAGACATGGATTTCCAACAGACCCTGAGGAAGCTTTCGAATAACACTTGAAACACAGGAATATAGGAAAATGACAAAACGAAAGACCAAGTTACAATCTCAAACCTCCATCCCATCCCAAGAAGCTTAGGAGCGATGTATATAGAAGAATATATATACAATACACCTCAACTATCAAACATAATAGTTAATGAAATAAACAAGAAACTCCGGGAAGCTTTAAAGGAATTCAAACTAGAAATAATTTCCCAGGTAAAAGAAGAAGTGATAAAAGAAATGAAACAGATACTGAACATACCTAAAGAAAACACAGTTAAAAACTTGGAGGAACTAAACAAAAAGATAGAAGCCCTAGATGAGCAATATAAGAAACAAAGAGAGTACATAAAGCAGATGCACAGAGATATACAGGAAATCAAAAATTCCACTGAAAGCTGTAAAAACCACCTCAATGAAAGTGAAGATAGAATCTCAGACCTGGAAGACAAGATTGCAGCTAGTGAACAGGAAAAGAAAGATCCTTTAAAAAAAACAAAGAATCAGGAAATAACAATTCAACAACTGCAAGATGACTCAAAAACAACATAAGTTTGATAGGGATTAAAGAAAAAGAAGGAGGTGACATAAAGGATGTCAAGAAAATATTTAGAGAAGTAATAGCTGAAAATTTCCCAAGCATGAGATCAGAAACCAACATCAGGTTCACTAAAGCATATGGAACTCCAACTAGTCATAAACAAAATAAAACTACACCCAGACATATAAGAATCAGCATCCCAGAAACCCAACAAGATTACATAATTAAAAGCTGTCAGAGAGAAAAGACAGATCACTTATAAAGGAAAACCTATCAAAATCACAGCAGACTTCTCAGCAAAAAATAAAGTCAAGAAGAGCATGGAGTGAAGTATCCCAGATCCTAAAGGAAAATGATTTCCAACCTAGACTGATGTACCCTTAAAAACTGTCCTTCAAAATTGATGGTGAAATAAGATACTTCCATGAAAAAGAACAGCTGAAGAACTTCATGATCACCAAGAAAACCCTGCAAAAAATATTGAAAGACAGTGTAGATACACTTAGGAAAAAACCACTAAGCAAAGCAGATAATAGAACAGAACAAAAAGATAAAGATGCAACAGCAGAAAGATAACATGTCAACAATAAGCCAACATATAACAGTTATAACCATTAATGTAAATGATCTCAGTACTCCAATGAAAAGAAACAGACTGGCAGAATGGATCAAGAAACAAAATCCAACCATATGCTATCTACAAGAAACCCATCTAACCCAGAAGGATAATCACAGACTGAAAGTCAAAGGATGGAAAACAATACTTCATGCAACAGGAACCCCCCCAAAAAAAGCAGGAGTAGCCTTCCATTTGCAGACAATGTGAACTTTAAACCAACAATGATCAGAAGAGACAAAAAAGGTCACTACATACTGGTTAGGGGAAAACTTCAAGAGGAAGAGACAACTATCTTAAATAAATATGCACCAAATTCCAGAGCACCCAGTTATATAAAACAAGTATTAACAAAATGAAAAATCAAATTATCAGTAATACATTTGTAACAGGAGACCTTAACACAACATTGATACCAAGGGACAGATTAACCAGACAGAAAATCAGCAAAGAAATAACAGAACTGAATCACACATGGGAACAAATGGACTTGATAGACATATACAGAGTGTTCCATCCATCCACATCAGAATATACGTTCTTCTCAGCAGTACATGGGTCATTCTCTAATAAAGACCATATATTAGCTCACAGACATTTTTAAAAACATGCAAAAGGGTTGAAATTATCCCTTGCATGTTATCGGATCATAGCACATTTCTATTAGAAATTAATTATAAAATATACTGCAAAAATCCCACAAACACATGGAAACTGAATAACATACTCTTGAGTAATCAGTGGGTCACAGGGGAATTTAAAGGAGATATTAAACAATACCTACAAGAAAATGAAAATACAGATACAACTTACTCAAATCTGTGGGATGCAATGAAAGTCATCATCAGAGGAAAATTTATTGCACTGAGTTCCCACATCAGGAAAACAGAATGAATACAAATAAATAATATGATGCTACACCTCAAACAGCTAGAAAAAGAAGAACAAGTCAAGCCCAAAGCCAAAAGAAGAGAGGAAATTGCAAAAATCATAGCAGAAATCAATGCAATAGAGACTAAGAAAACAGTCCAAAGAATGAATGAATGAAAGAGATGGTTCTTTGAAAGGATAAATAAAATCGATAAGCCCCTAGCCAACCTTATTTAAAAAGGGGGGAAAAAAGCTCAAATTCATGCAATAAGAAATGAAAAGGTAAAATCACTACAGACTCTATAGAAATACAGAAGATCATCAACACCTATTTCGAAAACCTCTACTCTCAAAGGTTTGATAACACAGAAGAAATAGACAGATTCCTAGAAACATATGAAGTACCAAAGCTAGGTCAAGAGGATGTAAAACTGCTGAATAACCCAATTTCTATCAATGAAATTGAAAATGTAATTAAGTCCTTACCTACAAAAAAGACAGGCCCAGATGGATTCACTGCAGAATTCTACAAGAAATACAAAGAAGACTTAATGCCAACACTCCTCAAACTCTTCAATGAAATTGAAAGGGAAGCAATCCTTCCAAAGTTATTCCTGGAAGGCAATATTACTCTAGTACCAAAACCTGAGAAAGACCCAACTAAAAAAGAGAATTACAGACCAATCTCCCTAATGAACACAGATGCAAAAATCCTCAATAAAATATCAGCAAATAGGATGCAGCAAATCATCAAGAAGATTATACACTATGACCAAGTGAGATTCATCCCATGCATGCAGGAATGGTTTAATATATGTAAATCAATAAATGTAATCCACCATATCAATAAAGCCAAAAGTAAGAATCATATGATCATTTCTATAGATACAGAAAAAGCCTTTGATAAGGTCCAACATTCATTTATGATAAGAACTTTACAGAAAGTTGGAATACATAGTCTTTACCTCAATATAATAAAGGCTATCTATGACAAACCAACATCCAGTATCATACTAAATGGCCAAAAATTGAAGCCTTTACTTTAAAATCAGACACAAGACAAGGATGTCCTTTATCGCCACTCCTATTTAATATAGTACTGGAAATACTAGCTAGAGCAATTAGACAAGAGAAAAAAAAGAGGTAAAGATAGGGAAAGAAGATGTTAAATTATCATTGTTTGCGAATGACATGATACTCTATATACAAGACCACCTAAACTACAATAAAAGACTCTTAGGTATAATAAATAAATCCAGCAATGTAGTTGGCTACTAAATCAATACTCAAAAATCAATAGCACTTCTATATACTGACAACAAAATCACAGAGATAGAAATAAGAGAAGCCACACCCTTCACACTAGCAACCAAAAACATGAAATATTTAGGAATTACTCTTATGAAAGAAGTGAAAGACCTATACAGGGAAAATTATAATACACAGAAAAAAGAAATTGAATATGATCTCAGAAAATGGAAAGACATCCCTTGCTCAAAACTCTTATACAGATTCAATGCAGTTCCAATGAAAATAACATCAACATACCTCAGAGATCTAGAGAAATGATTCCTAAAATTCATATGGAGTGATACGATACCTAGAATAGCAAAGACAGTTCTAAGCAACAAAGGCAAGGCAGGAGGCATCACAATCCCTGA